CTACTATTTCACGCTGGTATTCTGTGAGAGCGTGGTCCTTCCCCGGTCGAGCCGACCCATTCGTGCTACAACTATACTACTAATATAATTGCAGCATGGCTCTACCACGTAACGTTCCATGAACCTTATTACGACATACCAGAGAATGTTTTTTAACTACTTAATATGTCTACTTAATCTCATTATATTATCTATGACTTATTATCTAGAAGCTAATCTACCCTTTACCTAAACAATTTGTGAATTTTACTGAGTTTATAATGGACAATATTTAACGTTTAACTGGTCTTTGGTAAATTAGTTTGGTCCTTACCACTGCTAAACGTATAACATCATCCTTACCTTTAAAAGTCCTAATTGCATGCTCGACGGCTTGCGATTGCGGGTTTGGTCTCTCGATGTTATCCAAAATATCTTTATTGAAATGTTATAATTAATACTATAAGCGGGATCTACTTCCAAATTTTATAATTTATATCATAAATCAAAGTAGAAAATTCTTAACGAAATTGATCAACGGCGTGAGTGAGTGATTTTTCATTATAGCTGAAAGGTCTTATTTATTTGTAAGAAATACAAATGGCGCTTAGTTTCTAATAGTTCAATTTGCACAAGGCGCCTATCTTTACATGCATCCTTCTTCGTTATTGTAAATATACTTATTGCAACACGATTATATTACACCCAGGTGAGTGAACAGTATCTTTATGGTTACGAATTAAACGTAAAATAATATTTACGCATGATTAAAGAAATACGTATGAGCAGATTATTTAATATATATTTGAAGAAGTCTACCTGTATATTACAGTATATACGAGCTATATACTTAGAAAAACTGTACAACAGAAGACGGCGCGGCGCGGCGGCGCGGCAGTGATTTCTACCCACTAGGCAAAGAATATATACACTACGTAAATTAAATCGAACCGATTGAAATATTAGCAAAGCGAAATGATAATAATTAGTAAATTAAATGGCTGTCTAATGTCGGTAGCTGTCTAAAAGTCGATGCGATTCATAATAATGTTTCTTAGTAATAAATAACATATAATAATCGATCTTGTAAACAGCTGTATGCCATGCGGAAATTGTTTAAATATTTTTTTTTTAATTTATTTAGAGAACCCCAAACAAGTTTACAATACGTCTTATGTTAAAGCTTATGTTCTATTACAATTTATTACTTATTATAAACTCAACGACAATGGTCACACATTGAGTATAAAAAATAAGATAATATGTGAGGAACCTAGTTTTGTAAAAGAAAAGTATTTTAATTTCTAAAATATTATTTTGACATATATTAGAGGTTAGAGTTTAGTGTGTTAGCATATGTGCGCTCGCATGCGATCGATACATATATATATATATATATATATTCATTGGTTAGATGATTTATAATTAGTATTATGTAGTTTAGGTCTTTAACGAGATATTAAGTGTTTAACAGCAAGTTTACCAGCTGTCTGTTATAGGATCTGGCACTGCAAGTAAATAAATCTACAGAATTAAATTTTTTTGTTGTATGTGTCAACCATACGATGAAGGGGTGATCTGATACTAGCGTTTGGCCGAGATCTTGGCACAGCAAAGAGTGAGTGAGGACGCAAAGAACGCATACGTGCCCGAGATGGTACGGAGTAACTAATACGATTAATTAAATCTGCGCAATCATACTTGTTATTGCACAGATCATAAAGTAATCTTACCTCAAATTGAGTGCGCCTAGACCTTAAGTCTAAGAGCTTATATTTTGTTAAAAGGAGCACATATGATAAACGCTCACGGTGATACTTGTAATTAATGCGACGCAAGAACTTTTTTTGTACCATTTCAATGCTATGATTATATTTATTATAAAGTGGGTTCCATACAGGCGCTCCGTACTCCAATTGTGGCCTGACCAAAGATTTAAAAAGATAGATTAAAGTGAAGGGGTTTCTAAATTCAGTGGAAGAACGCATAACAAGTCCGTACATTTTAAAAGCTTTACTAATTATGTTTTGTATATGAATATCAAAATGTAATTTGTTATCAAAAGTCACTTCCAAATCCCTTATATTATTCACCCTTACAATATCTGTACCGTTAAGAGAATAGTTAAAGTAGCTTATATTCCGTTTTTTTGTGAAAGTGATTACTTTACATTTATTTAAATTGAGTCTTAAATTATTAAGAGCACAGTAATTGTGAAATCTATCAAGGTCTTCTTGAAGCAAATAGTGATCCTCTATTCTATCGATGCATTGGTATATTTTGAGATCATCAGCATATAAAAGGAACCGACTATTTTTAAAGCAATTTTTAACATCATTTATGAAGATCACAAACAAGAGAGGACCCGAAATGGAGCCCTTTGGGACGCCAGAAGTGACATTTGTAACATCTGACTCCAAACCTTTAATTACAACCCTCTGCGTTCTATTAGAGACGTAAGATTTGAACCAACGCCAGAGATTGCCGCGTATACCATTGAAAGCAATCTTCTCCAATAGTATTTTATGATCAACAGTGTCAAATGCTTTCCGGAAATCAGTATAAATACTGTCAGTTTGTATATTAGTGTCAAGCGCACTAAACAAATCTAATGTGTAAGTGATAAGATTAGTTATAGTAGATCGCCGTTTAACAAAACCGTGTTGTTCATCTAAGATAGCATCATGCACCAAACGCTCGAAAACTTTGGAAAGAATGGGCAGTATTGATATTGGTCTATAATTCATAACGTCACTTTTTGATCCATCCTTGAAAACTGGGACTATTCTTGCACTTTTCCAAATGTCAGGAAATGTTCCATCAGATAAGCATTTATTGTAAAGATAGCACAAAGGAAGATCGATTACAGATGCAGTTACCTTGAAGAAAACACTTGGTATGTTATCCATCCCAGCGCCCTTCGATACATCTAACATTTGCAGGGCTTTACGTACCTGAAATCTAGTCACTTTGATGTTATGAATAATAAGTAAAGTCAGATGTATTTTCAAATGGTATGCAAATATCATCAATATCGAAATCATGTGGTGCAGATGATCGTTGAAACACAGATTGAAAGAATTTGCTAAATAGATCACAGGACTCTTTTGGACTATGAGCAATAGAACCTTTATATTGTACACTACTTGGGATCTCTGAAATGTTACGGCGTTGAGATATGAACTTCCAAAAGTATTTAATGTTATATTTTATGCTATTTTCAACCTTCGCCATGTAAGTTTTGTAGCATTTTTCTGATACTGTTTTAAACTTTTTTCTATATATTGAGAATATATTATAATTTGAATTGTTGTTATATTTTTTCATTTTAACCCAAGCTCGATTTTTTTTCTTGAATATATTTATTAATTCAGGAGTAAACCAGGCAGGATACGAAGAAGCCCTAATATACTTTTTAGGTACATGTAAATTAATAATACTGTAAATTTTTTTCATAAAATAATGAAACTGCTTCCTCAGCACTTTTATTTAAAAATAAGACATCCCAATCAATATTCACTAATTTTTGCATAATTTCATTATAGTCCGCGTTTCTATAACAGTAGTTGAGATATGGTTTAAGCCGGATGTATTCATGATTTGCATCATACGCAACCGACACACAAAAAGGTGGGTGATGTTTATTCCCAGGAACTAATGTATTTGATATCGGTGACAACTCACAGTCCGTTTTATTAGTGAAAAAAAGATCCAAAAATACGGCCTTTGTCGTTTCTTAAGGAGTTTATTTGAGAGCAATTTAATACCGCCATAAAATTATTTATTTGTATGTGAGATTGGTTAAGATCGCTGATGCAAGGACATTGCCCATAGGAATTATTATTCATCCAAACTAAGTCAGGTAAATTAAAGTCCCCAATAATAAAATAATCTGTTACACTAGTATCCACGTCTAGCAACTTATTTTGTAACATATTTAAGTAACTAAGATAAACGTCATGGCATTGTTTTGGCGGAATGTAAACTGCACCTATAAATAAACACTTTTTTTGCAAATTTAAATTCGATGAGTATTTGGTCGATAACGGGTGGGAGCGGGGAGGATATCATAGTGGCAGGTGCGCAACCGGCAAAGCACAGTGTGCGCTGGATCGCGATCAACACGCCACCTCCGTCACGGCGGCCGCTTCCCGCTCGATCTCGATCCGCACGAAATAACTTATACCTATTGTCTATGTATTCGTTATCGGTTATGTCTGCATGCAACCACGTTTCAGTTAGTATTATTATATCGTATGATTGAGTAAGTATATTCATAAAAAGTGTATGTAATTTGGTTCTAAGGCCACGACAATTCTGGTAATAGATAGAAATATGCTTATCCATTTTTAAATATAACAATATTATGTGTTGTTAGTAAAAGATAGTTAAAATTATAAAAAAAGACTACTTAGATTGTGGTTATTATAGGTCATTGCATACCAGAATCGCCTTACTTTAGTAATATAAATAAGTTTAAATAGTAACCAGTAAAAAATAAATTTTATTTCTCCTACTTGATACATATCTGTATATAACGAGCTTAATTTTAGTAAACATGCACAAATAGTATAATCGCCCGATAGTCCCATGGTTGAACATTCATTATTTATATAAGTATAACTAAGACAAAACAACATCAGTAGAAAAGATAACTTACGATTTAATTTTCTTGAGATCTTGCTCGCTTCGTACAGCAAAAATAGGAGATGTCTCAGTTTGACGCACCAAAACAGTACCGTGCTTAATCCATGTGAATTTATAATTGTTCTTAGTGGCTTGTTGACGGTACAATCGAAATAATTGCTTGTTTTTAGCTGTAAGATGTTCGTTTACGTACACATTATGTATAGTACCAGGTACCGCCAGCTGGTCTGATTTTAAACCTTTATTTGCCCGTGCTGCCGTGATGAAGTTGTCGCGGATTATTTTCGTTGTAAATTTTATAATAACATTTTTTGGACGCGAACACTTTTTATCGAAATGTGGCACTCTATGGGCTGATACAATGTCCGATTTGCTTACAGGGTGTTTGATGACACAACCAATCTTTTCAATAATAGATAGAAGGTTTTCATCACGTCGTTCTGGTAAGTTAGCAATCTCGACTGTTGCTCCATTGCATCAATTTTATCTTTTAATAGGTTAATCTGGCTGGTTACATCATCGTTCGATCTCAGCTGGCTTTCTACCTGTGTCAGACGCGTTTCAATACTATCCTGCCTTTCTATCGTATAAGATAAGGATTTGTCGATTGTATCCAATCTATCTCCTAATTCTTTAAAGGAGTTACTTATAGTCGCTGATATTTTCTTTAGCTCTCTATCAATAACTGTATCGATTGAATTTCTGATACTTTCGGCAATGGTGATGTCCAATTGTAATTTCCATGAGCTGAGCTGATCATTAATTTTTTGCTCAACGAACTCTAGTACCGCCTTAACATTTTTATCATCAGACTGCTTACGTTTTCGGAGACTCACAAAAGTATTATCATCAGCGCCACGTAGTACGTACGCCAGCGTAGTTCTGGATTTGACGAATATTTTAGCCTCTGTGCCGGAGGTGTTGTTGGTGGCGGAGTACGCTGCATCGTATTAATTCGTGTGTATGACAAAAACAAATAATAATCTACTCTGTCCTTTCTTAGTGAGGGTGAAGTATGCGCGCCCCGCTGCAACGAGTTCAAGAAGCGATGCCAAAATAGGACAGAGAAAGTGATCCGAGTGAACAAGCGATATGCCCACAATACGTCACTGTTACAGCAACACACACTATTTTCACACTTACACGGAAGACAATAAAGTATGACAATGTTCTATAATGTTAAATTTTGCATTAAATTTTTCACACGTCCTCTCTATATGGGTCCCGCACGACAAATGATATGTTATATATTAAGAAATACTTACAAGTCGGCAACTAAAAGTTTAAAATAATCGACATTAACCTAATTTAGATAGATAGATAATATTTTATTGTACACCAAATCAATACATAAATTAAAGAAGAAAAAAAATAGTGTCAAAATAGGCGGTCTTATCGCTAAAAGCGATTTCTTCCAGACAACATTTGGATGGTAGAATCGCAAAAAGCAGTAAATTGTGTGGTTTGGTGATGCAGAAAAAATATTTATAAATATATTCATTTTTATAATTAGAAATACAACAAAAAAATACGAAAAACGAACTCAACGATTAAGATAGTGACTGTGTACAAGTTTCTGAAAAACAGGTAAAGACTGGGCGCGTCTCACTGACAGAGGTAGAGCATTCCAAAGACGGACTGCTTGGATAGTAAACGACCTGTCCATAAATTTGCTATTATGGGCAGGAATTTTTAATGTAAAATTCTCTGATGATCTCAAACCTTTCGAATGGGAATAGTGAAAGAATTCAAAACGATCCTTAGGATAAGAAGGATAGGAAGGATTAAAGAGAACATTGTAAAGAAGTGACAGAATATGAGCATTCCGGTGAAGACGAAGAAGACTAATTTATGCCACAATAAGGTTCAGTATCAATTATTTTAGTATTCATTGAGAGCGTGGTCATTCCTCCGACTTATTTATAATACAACCATAATAAAGATGCAGTGTGGCCGTACCGCGTAATAATACATTATATAAAACATTATGGAATAAAAATCCTTACCAAATACTACACTAAAATTTTATATATGGTAGAGTCATGCTGTAGTTATATTAGAAGTAAAGTTGTAGCACGAATGCGTCAGCTCGACCCGGTAAGGCCCACGCTCTCACAGAATACCAGCGTGAAATAGTAGCTTAATGCTGCTGTTTCGTATGGTGAGTATAGAGGACCGGAGACTCTTTTTACTGAAAATGAGGCATTCCATCTTAGTTCTCACAGATAACAACGCATTTGCATTTTGGTTCGTAGTCGAGGATAGATGTAGATACCTATGGGCCACAGCAACCACTTACCATCAGATGGACTGTGTGCTCGTTTGTTACCCTATCCTATAAAAAAAGTATTTTAATATTGTAGAGTTACTATTCAAATTTAACGGTTGGGGTTTATAGTATATACTCATTTTACGATGCCAAAGTTGGTGCGCACGTCAAAGAATGGAAACTCATTACTCATCTCACGGATTAGTAAGGACTATGTACCAGCGTCAGGTTTTCCCAAATCGATATAACGAGTAGGCCTTTCGACTCGACCGAATAGGCTTTTCCTGAGTTAAGTTATTCATAATATATATTACGACTACAAAGCTACTATATGTTATAGTGATCGGCTACCTTGGTCTGCTTGAAACTGGCAACAAGCGGTTACGAGGTAAATAAAGTACGAAAACAAGAAATAAAGATTAGCTATAATTATGCTTGACAGATGAACTGAGGATCACGGTACAAAAAGTCTCAAATCTTTGACGTTTTTCTTCTTAACCAATCTTGATTAATCATCATCATCATCATTACACTCTTTCACAATTCTATTGTTGAACAAAGGACTCTCCCAAGGAATTCCTCAAAGTGTGGTACATTATCAATCGTCTTCCTATATCTCTTACAAGATCTTCACTCCATCTAGTGGGAAGCAGCTCTACACTTCGCTTACCAGTATGAAGCTGCCATTCTAGAACCTTATCATGCATATTGGTGATAGCACGCAACCTCTTGGAACACTAATGTTAAGAGGCTTATAACCAAAACATGGACCGTCTACTACGACCTTGATGCTCGGATCAGCAAGGAAAGTAGTGATCTAATTACACAATTTCTCGAGAAACTCATAGGAAGGAAGCTTCGAAAGAAGCGCTTTGTCCCAGACCCATTCGAAGGCATTCGCTATGTCCAAACTTACGGCCAATTCATCTCTTGGACTCTACTGTCTACGCTCATTTATGAGTCAAGTAGACCAGGAGATCACCAGCTGATCTACCACAACGAAATCCGTATTGGCGGTCACTACTTTTTTGCCTTAATTGCCTCATAACCTATGGACTTCGTGTGTATGGTCGTACTTTTTCTTCCTATTTAAAGGACATTAAAAATCTACAGACAAGATTTCTAAAATATCTTGTAAATGAAAAAGTTAAAGAAAATTTTAAGAAAGATTATGATAAGTTATTCTTTATTTGTAAAATTTTGCACACAACGTTAGCATGCTATTCGTTTTGGAAAACATTAATAAAAACCACTATAACGAAAAATTGGATAATAAATATAGAACCAGGAAAGTTAGAGAAAGGAAATTATTTCAGCCTAGTGTTAAAAACTACCATGGTAAAAGATATACAAAATATTTAATACCAAAGCTTCTTAATGAAATAGATTGGCTAAGGCAAGATAGACCTTTATTTTGTTGCAATGTTATGTGGGTGGGGTGTTGTATTTGGAATTGATAGAGTGTGGAATTTATAGTGTTTATGTTTTAAATTTCTAGTTGTTTGTAATTGAGTTGAATACTTTTACTCTGCATGAAGTGGACCTCGCGGTCCTGATCTTCTTTCACCATAAATTCAGCCAGATGCCGGCTAACTCTATGGAGAAAGAGGTACTCTTTATGATGAACTCTTTCTTTTAGAATCGGCCCCACAGGAAGTGGACCTGGACGAGCCCCGACGGTTCCAGAAAAAAGAGATTGACTTCATTATGACAACTAGACGGCATTGGGTGGCATTAAATCTACTGAAATGTAATTGTTGCTGAAAATAATCACCCATGCAATCCAAAGATTGCTCTACTTATTATCAAAATAGCTGATAAGTTTTCGTTTAATTTATTCTGAACCATCTCTACAAAAGGCATTTATTGCAAAATAACCCTCTATATCCTCCCATCAGTAATGTAAGACAACGTTCTTTAATTATTACATTAGTTTAGTTGACACAAGAACAAGGAATACGCAGCATATTCTAAGTATGCCGATGCTGTTGTCGGTTGTTAAGAATTTTCACACACGTACAAACTTACAATTCATATTTAAATGTTTGTTGTTGAAACTATAAGATCAGATGTGTTATAATTTATAAAACAAATATGGCATTGACGTAAAATATTCAAGGAAAAGTAATATACACAGAAAAGTAAAAAAAAAGAGAGATAGAGAGAGAGAGAGAAAGGGAGTAGTAATAAATCGTTGTCAATCCAATCAGCGACGTAATGAATACCTATGTGATGTTTACTCGACTTGATTTAAATCGAAAACGTTTTAATTGGGTACAAGTAAATATGTCCTCAATTTTCTGCTATTGTAGGCAAACTAAAAAAAGAAAAGATCCTTAATGAAATAATTAATTTTATTTCAATCTAATTAGTTTTGTGTTCATAAAACTAGTGTTTATCACATTCGTCTCTTAAATAATTTTCCACAAGCTTAATACAGTTATTAAAAAAACCACACCGTAAATAGTTTGATGAAAAACAACTTCGCTCCCTTTTTATTTGCGGATGCAATATACACGTATTGAATCTTTACCTATAAAGTAGCCATTTTTTTATAAAATAAGTTTTAACGTAGTTTTTTCCATATTTATGTTTCTATTAATTAAAGTCTTCACCCATACAATCGCCCTTGTTGAAGAAATCAACTGGACGGAAGGCAACAAATTCTTCAAGGGCATTTTGTACTGCCTATCGGGGTTTTGAATTTCTTCCTTCCTTTTCCTTTGTGTATAAGGTACTCAGGTGAGTACGTCTGATAACGTAGAGCTTCCAATTTTAGCTTTTGTAACTTCGAGACCGTTTGTTGTACAGTATGAGGTCGCACGTAATCTTGTAGGAGCGGCGGGGACAAGCGATTGACTAAAGCTGGTTCGAGATATAATTGTCGTTGAAATTACATACAATATTATTTTTGTAAGTTTATTTTGGGATATGTAAATAGTATTCTCATCTGGGTGGGCTGTATAAATATGTATAAAATTATAAATAATATGAAATTATCATATTTTGAACATAAGACCATATATATGTAAAATATTGTAAAATAAAATAACAAAAAATAAGAACCCAAACAGACGGAAGCCCTCAACAGGGGCGAACAAACGACCGAAGGCTAGGGGAAAAGGAAAAAAAAACTGGCGTATGATGCGGGCGTTATCAAGGAACAACGCCTTTTGAATTTGAGCCCGGAGTGGTCCAGCACGGAGTTCGATTCGCCTCAGATGACCAAAGAGGTTAAAAAAATTATTATATAATACGGACTTTATGCTTTTATTTTATTTTCTAAATTTTCGACTTCTTCTATGACAACATAACCATAGACTTGATATTAATACTCATTATCTTCATTATAATCCCATCGCTGTTGGTTAAGAACTTGTCTGCCATTACTCTGACGATTAGCCAATCGAACTGGAGGTCTTCCCACACTTTTACCTAACTGTACGCTGCAACTCGTACACGAGTTCAGTTTAGTATTAAAAACAATTACTAAAGAAATATTTAATGTCTATAAACTACAAGGATTATCCTTATTTTGCCTTAAGCGGGTAAGAGATCCACTCTTACCATTTATATATTGCCTCCTACTATTTATACATTATTTGGTTGGAAATTACAAATTTAACAAAGCAAAACTTTATCAGGCCCTTAGGTGTTTTAATTCAACATTTTGAATTCATGATCAGAATATTGAAACGGCTTCTAAATTAATTTCACGGCTTAAACGATAAAGAAATAGGACAGCAATATATTGCTCAGACCTTAAAGAAAATAATATACTCTCAGCGAAGAGATGAAATACAGAATAATAATTATTTATTTATAAAAAAAAATCTTTGACTTATACGTTCTTTCTAAATAAAAGGCTTACAGACTAATATCTTCGTAAATATTCGCATCGTAATAAAGTTTTGTCATTATTTACGTTGTGGAATCATGCTGTAGCTAGATTTTAGCTGTAACTCGCATAGGTTATCATCACCGCGAACAGATCACACTCTCACAAAATAATAGTGTAAAATAGCTTTATCTAGATCATTTTTACTGGAAATGATGCATTCCAATATAGTTTTCGGGGTCGCCCCCGAAAACTATATTGGAATGCATGCACGTTTCTATATTTCGATTCTTAATTGAGGTTAGATATAGATTGCTATAGGCTACAGTATCTACTCACCACTGGGTGGACTGTCGTTTGCACCCTTATTCAATTAAAACTACAAAATGGTAATAAGAATCGCTTATTATACATATAATTAAATCTTTTCACTTTAAACAAATTAAAAGCACTGCAGCATTTGCTTTGACTACTCACCGAAATGAAAAACTAAATACGCAAAGTCTATTCAACTATGAAATTAAATAGCTTACATGGGTGCGACGATTGTAAATAAAAAAAAATTATCGGTTTTCTCATAAACTTAACTTAACTTAACTTAAAATAGCTTAGTATCATACAGACGAAAGTTTATTACATTCTATTGCGCTACATAGAAAGAAATAATTTCATATATAATTTGGTGAATTAAGACATACATGTTAGGGTGATTTTAATATGCTATCAGCTGTATCTTAATGGAAAGCGGTCAATTAGGGCCAATAGGTGTTTTAAACGAAAGTCAGGCAAATTTTTTGGACGTAATTAATGAATGTAATCTCGACCAATACAATAACATACGAAATAGCAACGATAGGCTACTGGATCATGTCTTTTGCAATAACCAAGTAAATGTACAACCCAGTGACCACCCCCTTATCTCAGAGGATTCACACCAGAGCTCAATTTGCATCTAATTAAATTTAGACATAACTAGTTTTCCGACTGTCAATAACATAACTTTTTTCAATTACAAAGAAGGAAATTATGTAGAAATTAATTCAAACTTGTCAAAAAAATATTGGAATGTCTTGTTATCGAGCGGTTCTTTTGACGACAATGTTCATAATTTTTATCGTATTCCGACCGATCTTCGTGACGAATTTATCATCATCATCATCATCATTACAGCCCTCACAAGTCCTGATGAACATAGGCCTCCCCCCAGTAAAGCCACAAAGCAGGGTCCTGAGCCACCTGCATTCATCGACTTCCTGCATATCTTACCAGGTCGTCACTCCATCTAGTGGGGGGTCGCCTACAGGTACGAGGCTACTACTCGAGAACCTTTCTTCCCCATCGGTTCCCAATCGAAAAAAATAGCCCGTTCAAGTGAGATTTCTCTCAAAGTCGATCGCCTTAAAGTCCTTGACCGTTATAAGCCGACTTAAGGGATTTTGTGATCAATCCCGTAGAGAATAAATAAAAATCTCCTATATTAAAAATGTAGCTCTTAAGCTACTTTTTTATAGGTATTGCAAAGATTTATTACTCGTAACTTAGTTGTTAAATATTGCAGCACATGCTGTGGTAACCCGTTTAATTTGTAAGAAAACTTAATCTGCGTGAAGTCCTATATTATGATTTATTGTAAAATATATTGGAGATCGTTTGAAAAGTAAATAAAAATATCATCATCATCATCATCATCATTACAGCCATTCACAAGTTCACTGCTGAACATAGGCCTCCCCCAAGTAATGCCACAAAGCACGGTCCTGAGCCACCTGCATCCATCGACTTCCTGCATGTCTTACTAGGTCGTCACTCCATCTAGTGGGGGGTCGCCCTACACTACGCTTACCGGTACGAGGCTGCCATTCGAGAACCTTTCTTCCCCATCGGTTATCGGTTCTTCGAGCTATATGGCCAGCCCATTGCCACTTCAGCTTACTAATCCGTTGGGCTATGTCGGTCACTCTGGTTTTACTGCGGATAACCTTATTTCTGAGTCTAGACGCACTACGTCTACACGCAGAGAAACTCCGAGAATAGCCCTCTCCATATCTCGCTGAGCAACCTTGAGCATTCTCATACAGCCAGCAGTGAAGGACCACATCTCAGATCCATAAGTCATCACTGGCAACACAAACTGGTTGTACAATCTAGATTTTAGAGATTGAGGTATACCTGACAAGAAGATATGTCATAATTTTCTGAACGCTACCCAGACGAGTTGAATCCGTCGATTGAGCTCTAGGTCGAAGTTGGACTTACCTAGTCGGATTATTTGTCCCAGGTAAACGTACTCGTCAACAACTTCGAGCATAGTGCTCCCAAAAACTACCGCATAGGTGTGACATGGACATTAAACATGATCTTTGTTTTGTCCATGTTCATCTTAAGACCTATCCGTTGGGAGACACCATTGAGATCATCGAGCATAGTGCTTAGGTCCTCCAGAGATTCTGCCAGAAGGACTATATTGTCGGCAAATCGTAGGTGGATGATGTACTTGCCATTGATGTCACTACTGTATCCTTTCCAGTCCAGTAGCTTGAAAACGTCTTCCAATGCAGCGGTGAAGAGTTTCGGGGATATAACATCACCCTGTCTTACACCTCTCTGCAGTTAGATAGAGATTCGAGCTCTGGTTCTGTAATCGGATAGCCATCGTAATGTACAAACACTTTAGCACTTCAATATACTGACAGTCAACTTGGCACCGCTGAAGGGACTGTAGCACCGCCTGGATTTCGACGGAATCAAAGGCTTTCTCATAGTCCACATACGCCAGGCGAAGTGGCAGATTGTACTCTTCGGTGTTCTGTACAATCTGCCGCAGGGTATGTATGTGGTCTATGGTACTGAAGCCTTTTCGGAAACCGGCTTGTTCGGGAGGCTGGAAGTCGTCGAATCTGCATGCGAGACGATTCGTGATGACTGTCAAAAACAGCACGTGACGCGGATAAGAAGGGAAATCAGTCTGTAGTTCTTCAAGAGAGCATTGTCGCCTTTCTTGAAGAACAAGACCACTGCACTTCTGTTCCAAGTTTCTGGAGTAGTGCCACCATGGAGGACGGAATTGAAGATTTTCTGAAGGACTTCAAGTACCGGTGTTCCGCCCGCTTTCAGAAGCTCCGCTGTAATTCCATCCTCGCCCGGGGACTTGCCTTGTAAGGTGCTGGAGAGCCATTCTAATCTCGCTCAGACTGACG